GCGCCACCGCACCTGGCCACCCTTAATAGATTTTTATGTAAAGAGTCAATTTTAAGTTCTTTGCTAGAACACTTTTTGAAATGTCTTCTGTCCATTCTGAAAGTTGCCTCATTTCAAACCTAGCTCCTAAATGCAGTGGTTCTGAATGAGAGCTGTGGAGCCTAGTGGTTTGGGTTTAGCTCCCTTCCCCTTCCCCTTTCTTTCTCTTCCCCCCCCCCCCCCCCACCACCTTCCCCGTCAGAGTCTTGCTCTGTCATTTAGGCTGAAGTGCAGCAGCAAGATCTCAGCTCACTGCAACCTCTGCTTTCCAGGTTCAAGCAATTCTCTTGCCTCAGCCTTTTGAGTAGCTGAGATTACAGGTGGCCACTACACCGAGCTCATTTTTTGTATTTTAGTAGAGACGGGTTTCACCATGTTGGCCGGGCTGGTCTAGAACTCCTGACCTCAGGTGACCCTCCCACCTTGGCCTCCCAAAGTGCTGGATTATAGGCATGAGCCACTGCATCCAACTGGGTTTAGCTCTTAATTGCACTTTAGGAAGTTATGTAATTTGAACCCAGCCTACTTTTCTGAGCCTCAGTTTTGTCATCTGTAAAAAGGGACAATCCTTTCTACTGCCTTGGTTTGTTGGGAAGTTTAGATGAACTACTGCAAGTAAAATGCTTCATGTGGCTATATAGAATTCTCAGGAAATGTTCTCATTTTCATTTTTTTTTTTTTTTTTTTTTTTTTGAGACGGAGTTTCGCTCTTGTTACCCAGGCTGGTGTATGCTGGCGCGATCTCGGCTCACTGCAACCTCCGCCTCCTGGGTTCAGGCAATTCTCCTGCCTCAGCCTCCTGAGTAGCTGGGATTACAGGCATGCGCCACCATGCCCAGCTAATTTTTTTGTATTTTTAGTAGAGACGGGGTTTCACCATATTGACCAGGATGGTCTCGATCTCTTGACCTTGTGATCTACCTGCCTTGGCCTCCCAAAGTGCTGGGATTACAGGCGTGAGCCACCGCACCCGGCCCTCATTTTCATTTTTTAATTCTGCCACTAATGACATGTTTTTCATTGTTCAGATTACATTTTAGCTTTTTAAATTTTTTCCCCCAAGACAAGGTCTCATTCTGTCGTCCAGGCTGGAGTGCAGTAGTTTGATCTCGGCTCACTACAACCTCTGCCTCCTGGGCTCAGACAGTCCTCCTGCCTCAGCCTCCTGAGTAGCTGGGACCACAATATGAGCCACCATGCCCAACTCATTTCCCCCCAGCCTCACCGTTTCAGGTTTCTATTTTCTTTCGTAGAAACTGGCTAATTCTTTTTATAGTTTTTGTAAAGATGGGGTCTCCCTATGTTGCCCAGGCTGGTCTTGAAGTCCTGGGCTCAATCGATCTTCCTGCTTCAGCCTCCCCAAATGCTGGGATTATAGGTGTGAGCCACCACACCCAGCCACGTTTTAGCTTTTAATAATTTTTTTCTTGGTACTAATATGTTAGGGGAGAAGTAACAGGAGAGCAGAAATAATCTATAACATAGTATGATAACAAAGTAAATCTAGGGTATTTTTGTTACTGAGATATAATCTATATACCATAAAATGCACAGATCTTCCTATTCATTGAGTTTTGACGTTCATCAACACCCACATAAATACCACCTCAATCAAGAGATAGAACATTTCCATCATCCCAGGAAGTTCCTTAGTGCCTGTCCCTGTCACCCACATACCCCCATGACCCAGGCAACTGCTTTGCTGATTTCTGTCTCCCATAGATTAGATTTGCTTTAGTAAATTAGTTTTTTATGTACAACTTTACAAAAGAGGCTTGCACTTTCAGAGTTGCTTGTCTATGAGTTACCCCTGCCTGTGATTCTTTTTTTTTTTTCTTCGAGACAGAATCTTGCCCTGTTGCCCAGGCTGGAGTGCAATGGCGCGATCTTGGATCACTGCAACCTCCACTTCCTGAGTTCAAGTGATTCCCCTGTATCAGCCTCCTAAGTAGCTGGGATTACAGGTACCTGCCACCATGCCTGGCTAGTTTTTGTATTTTTAGCAGAGACAGGGTTTCACCGTGTTGGCCAGGCTGGTCTCAAATTCCTGACCTCAAGTGATCCACCCATCTCGGTCTCCCAAAGTGCTGGGATTACAGACGTGAGCCACTGTGCCTGGCCACTTGCCTGTGATTCTTCACCAGCTCAGACAGTTGTCTCCTTCAGTACCCCCTTGCCCTGCCCCTTAAAGCTTCTTTCTAAATATCTGTGGATGGATAGTAAGGACTCCTAAATTGGATGGTTGGAATTTACTCCTGGACTACATTTGCATCTCTTTGTAAAGCAATTTCTAGCTCAAGGCATGGCGTGGCCTCTAGGATGAATGAGAGCTATGTGTGTATGTGCGGGGAAACATGATAATTTAGGAGGCAGTATTTATTTGCAGCTGGGAGGTCAGCTCCTGTCTTTGTATGAGCACACACTTTCCATGAACATCAATGGGATTTAGCCAGGCCCATGCAGAGAGAAATAGAAACTGAAACATTCAAAAAAACAAACAACAACAAAAACTTGGGTTTTTGCACAGAACAACATAATAGCAGCATGGTAATTGGGGAGTTCTGCAAACCGGTTCTGTGCTCCTCCTGAAGCAGGTTTTCTCTCTCTCCCTATGTGGTCTGGTTATGCTTTGATTATGAAATGTACCGATTTTCTTTTGGCTGCAGTGTGTACGTTACATCTGATTGGAAACAGTTGTAATCCTTTGATTGTAAAGATGTATGGGCATTGGGAGGAGTTTCACAAAGCAGCACATCTCTGAATAGATTTACATAAGAGATTTAAAGTCGTTTGAATCAAAGCTAATATATTTCACAGCGTAAACAGTATGAAAGTGAAACTCTCCAAGAACCACAACTGCTAACCTTTGGGTGGTGATACTATCTGTATTTTAAAAACTAACTGTCCTTGCAAGCTCTAAAAGTGGGTGGGGGGTGAGGAATGACAAGGAAAATGAATGACTATAAGCGCATAAGTAAAATGAATGACTGATTTTGGCTTTATTGATTACAAGAGGAAAAACATCTAGATTGGAAGTAGATTCTGCTGTGGGTGACTCCCTCCACTCAACCAGATTTTACAAGTCAGGGTTCCCAGCTCAGGGGAAGGCTGGGGAAATTTTAAATTTTTATTAGTTGCTACTTATGCAATTAATACCTTAATATGGTTTCCTTATAAAAACTTAAAACAGCTGGGTGCAGTGACTCATGCCTGTAATCTCAGCGTTTTGAGAGGCTCAGGTGGGTGAATTTCGTGAGCTCAGGAGTTCGAGACCAGCCTGGGCAACATGGCAAAAACCCATCTCTGGCTGGGCATGGTGGCTTAATCCCAGCACTTTGGGAGGCTGAGGTGTGCAGATCACTTGAGGTCAGGAGTTCGAGACCAGCCTGGCCAACATGGTGAAACCCAGTCACTAGTAAAAATACAAATATTAGCTGGGCGTGGTGGTGGCTACCTATAATCCTAGCTATTTGGGAGGCTGAGGCTGCAGAATCTCTTGAGCCCGGGAGGCGGAGGTTGCAGTAAGCCGGGATTGTGCCACTGTACTCCATCTTGGACAACAGAGTGAGTCTCTGTCTTAACAACAGCAACAACAAAAAACCATCTCTACCAAAAATACAAAAAATTAACCAGGTATGGTGGCACATGCCTGTGGTCCCAGCTATTCGGGAGGCTGTGGCAGGGAGATCTCTTGAGCCTGGGAGGTGAGATTGCAGTGAGTCAAGGTCATGTTACTATACTCCAACCTTGGCGACAGAGTGAGACCCCATCTCAAACAAACAAACAGAAAAACCCAAAAAACTGAAGACATTACAGATAGTCTGAAGCTCATTTCAGTCCCTCCCTATCCTAGTCTCTTTCCTGGCAGAGAAATCTAACTGGTAGTTAAGGAAATTGAAAACATTTAACAGTGTATAGAATCTTTGTTGGTATGTATGGCTATGCACGGTGGCTCACGCCTGTAATCTCAGCACTTTAAGAGGCTGAGTGGATGGATCACTAGGTCAAGAGATCGAGACCGTCCTGGCCAACATGGTGAAATGCTGTTTCTACTAAAAATATCAAAATTAGCTGGACGTGGTGGCGCATGACTATGTTCCCAGCTACTTGGGAGGCTGAGGCAGGAGAATTGCGTAAACCCAGGAGGGGGAGGTTGCAGTGAGCCGAGATGGTGCCACTACGCTCCAGCCAGGTGACAGAGTAGGGGTTAAAAAAAAAAAAAGGATCTTTGTTGCTATATATGTGAATGGTGTTACAGTGTGTGTCCTGAAAGACTGAGTTTTCTACTTGGCTCTGTGAATGCAACACATGTATCTTATTCTTTTTAACTGTTGCCTGGTGGTCCCTCTCACTGGCTCCATCTACCTATGTTTCTTTAGAGGCAGTAAAGATTAAGATTGCCTACATTTTGATTCCCATTTATCACTTAGTAGCTTTATGTCTTTGGGCAAGATTACTCAACCTCTCTGTGCCTCAGTTTTCTCGTCTGCATGTGGATCTTAGTTACGAGAGCGTTGTATCTCATAGAGTTGTGAGGGTGAGAAGCACCTCCAATAGTGCCCAGCACATGGTGGGTGAGAGACAGTGTTTGAGGTCACCATCACTTGCTTGGGGAGGAACAGTTGGAGTGTTCCTGTGTTTGTCACCCTCACTCCAAGGTGTTAAATGTGGACATCTTGTATGTGTGTGGCAGTGAGTGTGTCTCTAGGGTAGTGTTTCTGCAGGGTGTGTTTGTGAGTGTGTGTTCCCTAAGAGTGATTCGGAGAGGAGGGCTTGCAGGGGCGAGGGCATTTGGAATAACTCGAGGCACTCCCTGCCCCTGGGGGTGCTCCAAAGGTCCTGCCCCGCAGCACACTCCCAAGTGGCCTCTCGCCTTTTCTGCCCCTGGCACCAGGAGAGGACAGTTGGCTGCAGCGGGGCTCACTGCCTGTAGCAAGGCTCACTGTCGTCTGTCTCTGCAGGGCTTCGTGCTGGCCGTCACTGTCATCCGTGAGGCGGTGGAAGAGATCCGATGCTACGTTCGGGACAAGGAAGTCAACTCCCAGGTCTACAGCCGGCTCACAGCTCGAGGTCAGCCTCCTGGCTCCTGGGCCACAGGGGTGCAGGTCAATCATGGGCCACTGACAGTCAGGGGAGAAGAGTTCAAGGCCTGGGCTATGGGTGTGGGAAGGCCACGTGGCTGAACAGTTGCTTGGTGGCCCCAGCACCAGGGAGGCCTCCATCTGCCCTGGATGACAGGTTGATGGGGTCACCAGGCCCTGGCGGCATCCACAGGCCTCTTGGTATTGGTCCTGTCACATAACTTGTGTGTCATCAGTCTAGAATGATGTTCTGTGTGCTGGCATCCTCGCTGGCTAATCCCTTTCCCTTTCTGCCACCTGGCTGAGGAGGGAAGGAGGGTGCCCCTGCTGTTCACATGGCAGGCTGCAAAGAGTTTTTTCGGCAGTGGTTTCTTTAAAGCCAAACTGTTGCAACTTGAGTACAGATTTAGGTAAATACTGCATCCGGGAAGATTTCTTTGAAGGCATTTTATAAATCCTGGAAATTGAAGCCTGGAGAGTGTGGAGTCTGATCCAAAGACAGTGACCAGATGTGTATATTGGAGTTGTATGTTTTGGCTCAAAAACAAAAAATTGAAATTTTGGACTGGTACGGTGGCTCATGCCTGTAATCCCAGCACTTTGGGAGGCTGAGGTGGGTGGATCACCTGAGGTCAGGGGTGCAGACCAGCCTGGCCAACATGGTAAAAGCTGTCTCTACTATAAATACAAAAATTAGCTGGACACAGTGGTATACATCTGTAATCCCAGCTACTCAAGAGGCTGAGGCAGGAGAATCACTTGAATCTGGGAGGTGGAGGCTGCAGGGAGCCGAGATCATGCCATAACACTTTAGCCTGGGTGACAAGAGGGAAACTGCTTCTCTCTCTATTTTTTTTTTTTTTTTTAGACAGAGTCTCATTCTGTTGCCCAGAGTGGAGTTCAGTGGCACGATCTCAGCTCACTGCAACCTCTACATCCCCAGTTCAAGCAATTCTGCTGCCTCAGCCTCCCGAGTAGCTAGGACTACAGGCAGGTACTACTACGCCTAGCTGGTTTTTGTATTTTTAGTAGAGACAGGGTTTCACCATGTTGGCCAGGATGGTCTCGATCTCTTGACCTTGTGATCCATCTGCCTCAGCCTCCCAAAGTGCCAGGATTACAGGCGTGAGCCACCGCGCCCAGCCGGAAACTCCCTCTCAAAAAAAAAAAAAAAATTGAGCGGGCGTCGTGGTTCATGCCTGTAATCCAAGCACTTTGGAGGCCAAGGCGGGCAGATCACCTGAGGTCAGGAGTTAGAGACCAGCCTGGCCAACATGGTGAAATCCCATCTCTACTAAAAATACAAAAAAAAATTAGCTGGGCATGGTGGTGTGCGCCTGTAGTCCCAGCTACTTGGGAGCCTGAGGCAGGAGAATTGCTTGAACCCAGAAGGCGGAGGTTGCGGTGAGCCGAGATCATTCCATTGCACTCCAGTCTGGGTAACAATAGCGAAACAGTCTGGGTAACAATAGTCTCAAAAAAAAAAAAAAAAAATTGAGCCAGGTGTGGTGGCTCATGCCTGTAATCCAAGCACTTTGGAGGCCAAGGCGGGCGGATCACCTGAGGTTGGGAGTTCAAGACCAGCCTGACCAACATGGTGAAACCCCGTCTTAAAAAAAAAAAGTAGGGCTGGGCGCGGTGGCTCACGCCTGTAATCCCAGCACTTTGGGAGGCCGAGGCGGGTGGATCATGAGGTCAGGAGACCGAGACCATCCTGGTCAACATGGTGAAACCCCATCTCTACTAAAAATACAAAACAATTAGCTGGGCATGGTGGCGCATGCCTGTAGTCCCAGCTACTCAGGAGGCTGAGGGAGGAAAATTGCCTGAACCCAGGAGGCAGAGGTTGCAGTGAGCCGAGATCCCGCCATTGCACTCCAGCCTGGGTAACAAAAGTGAAACTCAGTCTCAAAAAAAAAAAAAAAAAAATTGAAATTGAAATGTTAATAACATTTCCCAGGGATATGAAAATCCTTTAATCACTGACCCCCTTGCAAGATATGTGCATATTCTAAACAATGGAACTTAAAAACCCACTCAAACACACTGTGGAAAAACCACAAAACAATCCAGCCAATGTTGACTTCTATTCGCTCTTGTTGCCCAGGCTGGAGTGCAATGGCGCCATCTCGGCTCACGGCAACCTCTGCCTCTTAGGTTCAAGTGATTCTCTTGCCTCAGCTTCCTGAGTAGCTGGGATTACAGGCATGCACCACCACACCTGGATAATTTTTGTATTTTTAGTAGAGAAGGAGTTTCTCTATGTTTGTCAGGCTGGTTTTGAACTCCTGATCACAGGTGATCCATTCGCCTTGGCCTCCCAGAGTGCTGGGATTACCAGTGTGAGCCACGTGGCACTCAGCCGTTGCCTTCTAACTACAACAGATTTACTGTAAGGTTGCATTCAGAAATGAGAGAATGTTACCTAAAGTTTGCTAATCTAGCCAAGGAAAGTCTATTTGATTTTCCTCTGAGATTCCTGATCCCATTCAGGGATGGATGCTATTTAAAGAGGTTGAGGGGAATAAAGGCTATGCCTTGCCTTCAGGAAATTGAGAATTTGGAAACAGATAAGATGGATAGATGCCAAAGGATTTAGCACTCAAGCCAGGCAGGGTCTGAACTGCTGTTCTGTTAAGTGCTTTATGCTTTCAAGGAAGCAGGTTTCTTGGGGGTTTTCAGTAGAGTTTTCCTTTTGGGAAAAATGTCAGAGGTATATGTTTTGGGCTAAAAAAAAATGCAAAGTTCTGCCAGGTATTGTGGCTCATGCCTGCAATCCAGCATTTAGGGAGGCTGAGGCAGGCGGATCACCTGAGGTCAGGAGTTGGAGACCAGCCTGGCCAACATGGTGAAACCCCGTCTCTATTAAAACTACAAAAATTAGCCAAGCATGGTGGCAGGCTCCTGTAATCCCAGATAGTCAGGAGGTTGGGGCAGGAGAATCGCTTGAACCTGGGAGGTGGAGGTTGCAGTGAGCCAGGATTGTGCCATTGCACTCCAGCCTGAGGGGCAAGAGCAAGACTTCATCTCAAAAAAAAAAGCAAATATTAATTGTGTTTTTCAAGGGTATGAAAATATTTTGTTTTAGTGTATTTGAATACATTGTCATGGTTGGTGGTCTTAAAACTGTGCAAGTCTCTGTAAGAAAGGGGAATTCCCAGTTGGTATAGAAATGCTTTATTCATGCTAAACTACTGTATTTAGGACATCTTGCTACCAAAAGAAAAAGAATCAGTGTAATCTTTGCAGAGGCAGGTGGCTTGGGCTTTCCGCGTGAGTGGTCAGAAGACCTCTCTGGAGGGCTTTTTCTTGTGTGGTTCGTGTGTATTAAATCCTCCCTTAATAACATATTCTTACTATAACATTTAAAATGCTTGGCAACCAACAAAAGCCCCATCGGAGAGGGTGCGGTAGATCTCAGAGCTCAAGAGAAGAGGCCTGGATTCCATTCATTCATCCATCCAGGCTTTGACCCTTCTTTGGTTCTTTTCATATTGCAATTGCTTTTCCCATGAATGATTTTTCTGCCCTCCGCTGCACACCCCTTCCTGGCTCTTGCTTTAACTTCACTCAGCTCTTGAAAAGGTCCTAAGGAGAATTGGCAGATGGCTCAAGCATTAAAAACGTGTCTTCCATTGTGGGTCTCCCTTTGTGGCCCGTGGTGTCTATTGTCATGCCAATGGCACTGTAGGGAAAACAACACAGTTCTGAATATTAACCCAGACGCTAGCTCCGCAATTTGTTGTGAAAGCCCAACAAAACACTGAAGAAACTGTCAGCTTGGAAAGTGATCCAGGTGCGTTTAGTTATTTGCTACGCTTTTGGGGGAGGGCCAGGGTAGCAAACCTCAACTGGGAGATTGCAGGGAAGAGGGAGAAAAACAAGCCTTTTTTGACTTCCCTGTCGAATTCTTTCCTGGTATTTCCTTGAGTGAAACTTCACCATCTTCACTTAGTAAGATCAAAAGCAAAATGAAACAAGTATGTATATGTATGTTCATGACGGGCTGTTACCTTTTTATCACATGAAGTCTTACAATGTACTTTCCAGCTCTATTTTGTGGGGTGAAAATGTTCAGGAATCATAGTGCCTTGATGACTAGATTTTAAGCCATGGTATTTAGCTACTTGCCACATCCTTTTGTGTACTCGTGCTATTATAGTTAAATTTTAAAATTTGTTTTTGCAATAATTCCTAACTAGCCAAAAATTTGCAAAAATTGTATGGAGTACTCCAATATGCCCTTACTCTAGATTCATGAATTATTACATTTTGTCACAGTTATTTATTTATTTAGAGACAGGGTCTCTCTGTGTCACCCAGGCTGGAGTGCAGTGGTGGGATCTTGACTCACTGCAGCCTCCACCTTCCAGGCTCAAGCGATCCTCTCACTTCAGCCTCCAAGTAGCTGGGACTACAGGTGTGCACCACCATGACCTGCTAAATTTTTATTTTTTATTTGTAGCGATGGGGTTGGCATGTTGCCCAGGATGCACAGTTGATTTTAGTCTTTTTTCTTTCCCCTGTGTGGGCTGGAGTACACTGGTGCATTCTTGGCACACCGCAACCTCCGCCTCCCAGGTTGAGGCGACTCTCCTGTCTCAGCCTCCCCAGTAGCTGGGATCACAGGTGTATGTCACCACACATGGCTAATTTTTGTATTTTTAGTAGAGATGGGCTTTCGCCATGTTTGACTTCAGGCAATCTACCTGCCTCAGCTTCCCAAAGTGCTGGGATTACAGGCGTGAGCCACCGTGCTGGCCACAGTTGCTTTTTAATACTTTCTTTCTCCCCATGTAAATATACATATAGGTATATCTGGGGTCATTAGAGACAAGTTGTAGACATAATTCCCTTTTTTCTTTCTTTCTTTTTGTTTTTTTGAGACAGAGTCTTGCTCTCTTACCAGGCTGGAGTGCAGTGGTGTGATCTCAGTTCACTGCAGCCTCTGCCTCCCAGGTTCAAGAGATTCCCCTGCCTCAGCCTCCT